TGCAGGCTGCATGAATTTTCATGTACCAGGCCTCTAGTACACTATAAAAGAATAAATTTTATGCCCTGGCCAGTGTGGCTCAGTGATTAGAATGTCGGCCCAGACACCAAAGCATCATAGGTTCAATTCCCAAAGGCATACACCTGGGTTGCAGGTTCAATCTCCAGCCCAGGTCGGGGAGCGTGGAGGAGACAACCAATCACATTGATGTTTCTCTTTCTCTCTTTCTCTCTCTCTCTCTCTCTCTCTCCCCCCCCCCCTCCCACTCTCTCTAAAAATCAATGGAAAAAATATCCTTGGTGAGGATTAACCAAAAAAAGAATAAATGTTATAATATGTGACTTATAACTTAATAAAGTTGTTTTCAGATGACCACGGCCTACAAGTCCCTGCTCAGGCCCCAGTTTCTCTCTCTGACCTTAACCTCAAATGTCTCTACCATCAGTCACTTCCCAAACCCCTTGGTTTTCTATCCGTTCCTGAAATACGGCTAGGGTTTTCTTACCTCCAGGCCTTTGCATATTCTCTACTCTCTGCCTGGAATAAAAAGTCTTTTCAAGTCTCTTTACATGACCAATGACTTCTCATCCTTTGTGTCTCAGCTCAAATATCATCTCCACTGTAAGCCTTCCCTCTCTATCTAAAATAGGACAGCTGCTCCTATCATTCTCTCAGAATTTTGTTTCCTTTGTAGCACACCCACATAGCTTTACGTGAATTGATTTCGGTTTTTTTATGTCAGGTCCACCAGACTGTAAGCTCCAACAAGAGTAGGAATGAGTATGTATTATTATTCACCATTACAATTCCCAATGTCTAACACTATCCCTAGCATTTAAGTGCCTAATAAAATGGTAATGAGTATTTTTATTTCCCTAATGGGCCATTCCTGTATTGAGATGACTATGACTGCTGCCATCACAACCACCATCACCACCACTGCCACCCCACCACCACCCTTACCCCTTTCATACCCTTACTCATCTCCCCTGTCTCAACTAAAACAGTATCTTCTTGATGAAGCCTTCCTTTCTTGAGCCCTCCTTGGAAAACAGTCTCTCCTCCACTTATTCACTTAGTCATCACTGGCTGCAACTCCACCATAAAAAAGATCTTTTTGCCCTGGCTGGTTCGGCTCAGTGGATGGAGCATCAGCCTGCAGACTGAAGGGTCCCAGGTTCAATTCCAGTCAAGAGCGCATGCCTGGGTACAGGCTCAATCCGGGGGGGGGGGGGGGGGGGGGCGTGCAGGAGGCAGCAGATCAGTGGTTCTCTCTCACCATTGGTGTTTCTCTCTCTCCCTCTCCCTTACTCTCTGAAATCAATAAAAATGTATTTTAAAAAATGATCTTTTTGTATTATACTCAGGGTATTTTTTTTTTTGGTGGGGAGGGGGCCTGCAGGGAGTTGGTTTTGTTTCACATTTCTGTCTTACTACTACTTTGGGAAGCCTTAACTCAAAGGAAAATCTCTTCATTTCTATGCCCTAGTGCACTATCGGGCACATAATATATAGTACCAGTTATGATAACTATAATGACTAACATTTATTGTGTTTAATATGTGCTTGACACTCTTCTTAGTTCTATAATGAGTGAATGAATAAATGGATAAATTTCTTGGTCACCAACCTCAAAGTGGTCAGAGTCTGACAGGGACAGAAGACAGGTATACAGGCTAATGCAGAATAAACACACCCCAAGGCCAAATCAGCTGCCTTATCCTGTCCTCTATGCCTTCACATCTTTGAGTATGCTTTTCTCTGAGTCCATAAATGTCAGGCTTCTTCAAACTCACTTAGAATACTTCCTTCGATTACTTACAATCCACTTCCTGCCTTTGGTGCCTGGAAACAATTTCTAGGCTATCACCACAAGCAGTATTAAGCTGCCACACCGTTTCCTGCTGTGTGTCTGCATTATCAGTTAAATTGCTTCATATTAACCACATTCCAGTCCACTGGGATCACTCAAACACCAACTAAGATTTAAACATAGCTGTCGAAGATACTAGTCACCACTGCTCCTTTTATCCTTTAAGTATCTGCTCAGGTTTAAAGCTTAGGAGCTTTCCAGGGTACTACCTGCATAACTGGTGACCTTTTCTTTCCTTTGTCAAGTAAGTGTTTGGTGTGAGGCAAGACAATGTTCCTCTAAATAAAGTGAACATGAACTGAACACTCTTTAGAAAACATAAGGAACTATCTGCCTAGACCAGGGCAAGTTGGCTTAAAAACTTATAAAACTCTTCCTCCTCAAGAGTTCAAGTAGCAAATTGTTCTTTTAACTCTATATAAACTAAATTAGGATCTTAATTCAGATCCTAACATATTCTTAAATGCATTCCATAAACTCTTCCTAAACAATCTGTGTGTCAGGCACTGGGTTTGACACAGAGAACTCAAAGACAAATAAGAGAGTCCCTACTCTCAAAAAGTTCATGTCAGGCTGAGTATGGAAGACAGACAAGGAACTGGATTTAGTGCTATGACACAAGGGGCCACTGAAACAGATGAGCCCCTGGCCTAGGCTGGGGAGGAAGATGCACAGATGAGGAGCCACTGCCCTAGGCTGGGGAGGATGCACAGATCAGATCAGGGGCACCTGGCCTAGGCTGGGGAGGGGGATGCTCAGATCAGGGGCACCTGGCCTAGGCTGGGGAGGGGGAACAGATCAGGGCAAAAAGTTCATGTCAGGCTGAGTATGGAAGACAGACAAGGAACTGGATTTAGTGCTATGACACAAGGGGCCACTGAAACAGATGAGCCCCTGGCCTAGGCTGGGGAGGAAGATGCACAGGGGCACCTGGCCTAGGCTAGGCTGGGGAGGATGCACAGATCAGGGGCACCTGGCCTAGGCTGGGGAGGGGGATTCACAGATCAGAGGCACCTGGCCTAGGCTGGGGAGGATGCACAGATCAGGGGCACCTGGCCTAGGCTGGGGAGGATGCACAGATGAGGGGCACCTGGCCTAGGCTGGGGAGGAGGATGCATATATCAGGGGCACCTGGCCTAGGCTAGGGAGGGGAAAGGGAGAGGGATAGAGAGTTAGAAACATGGATGAGAGAGAAACATCGATCAGCTGCCTCCTGCACACTCCCTACTGGGGATGTGCCCACAACCAAGGTACATGCCCTTGACTGGAATCGAACCTGGGACCCTTGAGTTTGCAGGCTGATGCTCAAAACACTGAGCTAGGGGGGAGGGGGACTGGCACCAGGGCAGGCTTCCAGCGGGATGCACAGATAAAGGGCACCTGGCGAAAGCTGAGGTGGGGGCAGGGGGACTGGCACCAGGGCAGGCTTCCAGGAGATAGTATCTGATCTTAGGCCTATAAACTCCCATTCTCTCATTTTAAAAATGTGGCTCATAGTACTTACATCACTGGACAGTTGTGAGGATTTGATGAAATGGTTCACATAAAGCATTACCACCATGTCTGACACAGAGATTGTACTCAACCAGCCTTAGCTTGAAAGGAAAGTCTGATCAGGCACTAAATCTCAATACCTATGCCTAGCAACTCAACTGATCATACAGCAGACACCAGCTTCACAATTACACGATTATTGTTTTTAATAACTTTTATTTTTTACTGAGAAAATGTTAAGTCCTGCCCTGCATGTTAACAGTCTAATTCCTTGATCATCAAAACTTTCTTCTCCATTATCTGAAACGTCCAGTTCTCTGACATTTCTTGTATAAAATATACTAGTTTTCTTGGTTTTTTGATAGAGAAAGTGTAAAAGAAAACTAACAATTACTGAACTTTTAATATGGACCCTGCAGTCATGGTGATACTATAGTTACTGTTCATAATGACCCTGCAACAATAGTTTTCCCCATTTTATCCTCGGGGTGAATAAGGAACTTCGTAGTTAGTAGACAAAAGAACTGGAATTTGAATCCAGATCTGATTCTACATATCAGCCTGACTGGGCCACATAGCATCAGAGATAGCAAAAGAAAACACAGACAGCCATAGTGCTCTCCTGCTTGGAGGGACCACAGTGTACTCTGCCTCCTGCTCCCCCACCCCCAGGACTGTCCTACACAATGGAGCCTGCACACAGATTTCACCTCAGCCAGGTGAACCCCTTAGCTACGTGTCTTCTTTCCTATCAGCATGGAGTGGTCAGCAGCAACCAAAGCTACGTCCTCCAACAAGTAGGGCTGCACCTAAGTAGGTTTCCTGGCCACCATTCCTACCTGCAGGCAGAAGTTGCGTAGTCAACAGTCACCGTAAATCACAAGTACTTTTCGTAATTTCCCTCTTCATATTCTCTTTCAGTCTCACCACAAGTAAAGTTAATATATTTCCCAAGCCCAAGTTTGTATCACAAAGCAGTCTAGTTTCAACATCAAGGCTAGTCTTTATACTAATTTACTGCATTAGTAAGTTCTCTTGCCCAAGTGCTCAGAGTGATGGGTTCCCAAAACGCATTTGAGATATGTATCTGTTAACCTGCAATGCTCACACGCAAGACAGAGACCCAATGCCCAGTCATCTCAACTCCTGCTTGTTGGGCTTTCTCTACCTGCCTCGTATCAGACCGGTGTCTGAACTTCTGCGTCACAAGAAGGGTAAGCATCCTCACAAGCATCCTCTGCAGCTCTCAGGTGGCTTTTGGAAAGGGTTCCTCAGTGCTACTGAAATCCAAGTTTAAAACTCCTCCTTGGAAGCAGGAGCTACACGTGGAGTGCCTCTTTAATCCCAATACTTCAACAACTGTGTCTTTTCACCTCCCAAGCCTCTAGAGCAGTGGTTCTCAACCTTCCTAATGCCGCGACCCTTTAATACAGTTCCTCATGTTGTGGTGACCCCCAACCATAAAATTATTTTCGTTGCTACTTCATTACTGTAATTTTGCTGCTGTTATGAATCGTAATGTAAATATCTGATATGCTATCTGTGTTTTCCCATGGTCTTAGGCGACCCCTGTGAAAGGGTCGTTGGACCCCCAAAGGGGTCGCGACCCACAGGTTGAGAACTGCTGCTCTCGAGCTCTTCTGTGGGCCACGCCTCTACATTTGTCCCCTCGTTTCCACAAAAACGAAGAACAGTGTTCTCGTCCAACTCTTCCATTTTCATTATGAACAGACTCTGCTGGCTCCATGGAGCAAAGGTCTCGGGGCTGTGGCAGCAAGTATGAGACACAGTCTGTGGCTGGAAGCCTGGGCCCCGGGGGACTACACGGCTGAACAAGTCACATGGCTTGGACATCGAGGGGACAAGGATGCAACTTTGGCATAATTACTAGATTTTGCCCCGAAAGCCCTTCCCCTTTCAAACTTCCCCTGGCACAATTCTCACAATGCTGAAATAAACACATTCCACGGGCTTTCCTGTAAGCAGGTTTCAAGTGTCCCGTGAAAGCTGTTTTCAGGAAGAGCCTATGCTGTCAACTTTGTTGTCAAGTGCCCTCAAACCAGTCTGTTACTCAGGAGTGAACATTTGTTAGTCATTAGAGATAAGGCATCTCGCGCTCTGGAGCTGGGGAAGGGAGAGGCCGAACGAGGACCTGGCGTGGAGGGGAGATAGAGCCCAACACAGCACACCCAAACCGGCCTGTGCAAGAGTCTGTACTTCCCCAAGTCAGCTTCCAGCCCCGAAGGAGGGAAACAAGGTTCCGATGGGTTCTGAAGTTCGACGCAGCAACCATCCTGTCCCCGGGGGAACCGAGCCCCGGCGGGGACGCCAGGTGGAGGGACTAGCGGGGCAGCGCGCCCCATTGGCTCCCAGAGCCGGCCCCGCAATGGCCAGGTGCTCCGCTCCGCACGGTGGGGACGTGCACAGGTAAGAGGGGAACCAGGAGAGAGACGAGGGCCTGCACCCCAGAGTGTCCAGACCTCAGGTCCCTGAGCGGCCCCCTCCCTCCGAGAGCCTCAG